ATATACATATATTGACTGTCTTCAACCTATCAAAACGTAGACAAATTTCTCCTTTTCAGAGCTTTTATACAATGTGATCGGAACTACAGAATAAGTCAGCAGAATAGCTAGCTGAAGTATTCAATGCAAAACTCTTATTAAATTATTTGTGACAAATTTGATACACATGATATGTATGCTCCACCTTACACCCTGTTTGGATAAATTTTAGTGATAACTAATTAATGCATGATAATAACAGAAATTGGATGACAATAACATAGGATGACGATGAATTTTTTTATTTATTTAGATGATTGTATATTAATGTATATTAATGACATTTTTATTTGGATAATAAAATAGTATGATTGTATTTTCAGTCAAATTATTAATTTATTCTTACCTATTTATGTAATAATAAGTGGTATATAAGAAATATATAATAAAAAAAATTATTTACTAATATAATTACATTTGTATTTAAATAAATAATTATTACAAATTAAATTTTTATATTTAATAAAATAAATAATAAATTGTGATGATAAAAATAAAATTAAGTATATTATATTGGAATATAAAAGGAAAAAAAAGTAACCTGCCATTTACATATCACCGATTCGATGGTTTTAAAATTCATTCCAAATTTATCAGTCAAATACTGTTTGTTACTATTGGAAATTAAAACAAACATGATTTTCTCACACCCATGAATACCATACATTAAAATCCTATCATTTAGTACGATACAAACAGAGTGTTAATGGAAAGTGTTACTAATTTCCTCTCTAGCTCTCTATGTACGTGTCACAAGGATCACTATAAAGCTTATGATCAATTCATTCACTAAATATGGCAAAATCATACTATTCCCTTAATTAGGAGGTATTTAAGTAGATGATATTTTGTCTTTGTAATCGAACAGAAAAATATAGGAATATTTTCTAATAATTTCATTAAAATAGGTTAGAGATATAGACACATATAGAAAGATCTTTATAAAGTAACTAACATAAATTAACCTATTAATTTGCTGCCTATAATTATGCTAATATATATGGAAAGTCAACTATCAATAATTACTCTATTATACAAGGAAATATTATAAAATCTTATAACATTCTTCCTCAAATTGGAACATAAATATTAATCATGCTGAGTTTGTTATGAAAATATTTGATCTGAGTTCCATCTAAAACATTTGTAAATATGTCATTTAGTTGTCCTTCTGTCTTCATATAACCAGTAGAAATCAAATACTCCTTAATCTTCTCACGGATAAAGTGACAATTAATTTCAATATATTTAGTTTTTTGATAGTACATTAGATTCGAGACAATATTAAGGGTAGCCTGATTATCACACTACAAGATTCAAACCACTTCAGCTAAAAAGTGATGTATCCATAAGATTTCACATGCGGACTAGACTGTAACTCTGTACTCGAACTCTACACTGAACAAAGACACAACTGCTTGCTTTTTACTTTTTCATAATATTAGGTTCCCACCAATAAAAATACAATAGCTCATAGTGGATTTTCTATCAATTTTATATTTAACTCAATCAATATTTGTAAAGCATTCAATGTGAGTGACCATAATTACTAAACAATATACCAAGTCCCGAAGCTCCTTTTAAATAGCACATAATCTGTTCTAGGACCTCGCAATACTTAGCTATAGATGTAGACATAAATTGGGTAGCAACACCGACGGTATACGCAATATCTGAATGAGTTACTGTGAGGTAGTTCAATCTCTCAACTAATCATTTGTACTTTTCCGGATCATCAATAAGATCATCTTATGCAAGTGTATATTTGGCACCACCAGAGTGTTGCATGGTTTTCCGGTTTTTACAAGTATATTAAGTACATATTTCATCTGAAACATCATAATCTCTTTCTTACTTCTTGTTACTTTTATTCTTAATAAGTATTTCAGCTGACTCAAGTCTTTAGTGTGAAACTTGGTATGCAAGAACGATTTGAGAGAAGATATTCTTGCATAATCACATCTTATAATGACAATATCATCAACATAAACAACAAGAGATATGGTACCAACTATTGATTGTCTATGAAAGACCGAATGACTATGTTTGCTCTTCTTCAACCCAAATTCCAACATTACTTCACCAAACTTTCCAAACCACGCACGAGGAGTTTGCTTTAAACTGTACAAAGATTTCTTCAAATGATAGACTTTTTCGTACTTCTCTTGAGCAACAAACTCAAGTAATTGCTCGATATATACTTTTTCTAGAAGATAATCATGGAAGAATGCATTCTTAATATCCAATTGGCGTAAGGGCCAGTTTTGAAATGCCGCAATAGAGATGAATGACCAAACATATGTAAGTTTGACTATCAGAGAAAAAGTATCAGAGTAATTCACCCCATAAGCCTGAGAATAATCTTTTGCTATAAGTCTACCTTTAAGTCTTGCCATAGGACCATCTGAATTCACTTTAACTTAAATTACCCATTTGAATCCCCCAACTTTTTTACCTTTGGATAAATCCACCAAATCCCAAGTATGATTTTCATTAAGAACATTTATCTTCTCAAATATTGTGTTATACCAATCAGAGTGATTCAAAGTCTCCTTAACTGTATTGGGTATAAAAATTGAATCTATAAAAGTAATTAAAGAGCTAGATAAGAGATAATTGATTATATGAAATAAAATTAGTAATATAATAAGCAGATTTAGGAAGGGTACACTGGTGTTTACCTTTGCGAAAACTAATGGGTAGATCAAGATCATGTGGGGTTAGATTAGATGATGAGAAAACTGGTGCAGGACATATTGGAGGCACATCAACACTATCATCAGCTTGGTCAACTAGAGTTGGAGGCATATTATCAGTAGAAACACCATTATTTGATTGCTCAGTAAAGGCATTTGGTGTGAACCTATAGATGAACCACTCATCATCCTCCCCCTAACTTGTAGAATTAGACAATGAGAAGTAGAATGGTGTATTCTCCGAAAAAACCAAATCAGTTGATATCAAATATTTGTTGAGATCTAAAGAGTAGCACAAATATCATTTATGAAGGTGAAATATTCCAAAAAGACACACTTCAAGGCCTTTTGGTCTAACTTGATAATATTAGGCTACACATCTCGAACATAACATGTGCTACCAAATACCGTAGGTTGCACTGAAAACAATGACTTATTTAGAAAAAAAAGAACATTTCCATAAAGTACTATAGATGACAGACAATTAATCAAAAAACAGGCCGTGAAACATCAGCTCATAATTACTTAGGAACCTGTGTTTGGAACAAAAGAGTTCGAGCAGTCTCAAATAAATGTCTGTTCTTCCTCTCTGCAACTCCATTCTGAGAGGGTGTATCAACACAAGAGTATTGAAAAAAAACCTCTTATTGAGTATCTAGCTCTGAATATATATTGTTCAGCACTATCACTTCTCAATACATAAACATAAATATTGAATTGGGTTGACTTCAACAAAAAAAACACAAAAGTGAGAAAACACTTTAAAACGGTTTTTTATAAAATATATTCAAGTCATCTAAAAAAAATTATCCATAAAAATGACAAAATATTTAGACTTTATTTGAGATACAACAGAACAAGGACCCCAAGCATCAAAATAAATTAACTCAAAAGCAGACTTAACTCGTTTATTAATTCTTGAACCTGATGAACTCCAGTGATGTTTTGCAAATCGATACGATTCGCAATATAATGAAGGTACATCATGAAACTGAGAACATAACTTCTTCAATATAGGGAGAGAATGATGTCCCAATCGATAATTGCTTCAAATGGAGAGACGAACCTAGCGTAGGTAAGTGTTTGAGGCACCCAAGTATCAAGAATGTAGAAACTATTTGATACATGTCATTTACTAATAATCTATTTCGTCGTAAGATCCTTAAGAAGACAATGATCGGAGAAAAATATGATACAACAATTAAGATCTTTAGTAAACTTACTCACAAAAATCAAATCGAAAATAAATTTAGGTAAACTTAATACAGATGACATGTAACAGATGAAGCTGATTTTATGGTATCAAAACCCTCAATATTATAGGTTGACCGATCAGCAATATTTACAAGAGAAGGTGATTTGTGTAATTGAAAGCTAGAAAAAAATTAGAATTATCTGTCATGTGATCTGTAATACCAGAATTAATCAATAAGACAGTTTTCACTTGATTTAATAATAGTAAGAATTTCTTCAAGAATTCTTGATATTGAGAGAATTTAGTATACTCATCAGCTGAAATCATAATAGTTTTCTAAGAAAAAGAGGTGGCCGCAGCAGTAACAATATTAACAGTCGGTGTTCTCTGATTGCGACTTTACAATTTCTTACAGTACTGCTTTACATATCTCTTACTCATGACAGTAGTAGTAGATAATAGTACCACCAATTTTAATTTAAGAATTAAATTATCAGACGAAGACCACCAGAAACACCTAGAAACCCAACAACCAAAAAACACTTGATGCAGATGAAAAACAAATAGTGAGAATTACCACTGTCAAGAATAAACAACTCATAGAGAAAC